AAGGCAAATTTCCACCAGCAGCCTTGCGATTCATGTTTAAAAAAATTAACACTTTGCTATTCATTCTGCTTTGTGCCCATTAATCGATGTCCAAAGCATTTTTTTCCAACGCAGTAGCGCCTTTGTGCTATCATTTGCATTTGCAGCCTGCCTCCAGCCATACCGTTAGCACTTTTTTAATAGCACAACGGATATGCGGTGTTGTTTAACATCCACATAACAACACAAAGGTTAATGCCGTGTGCAATCATCAATGAACGGCTGGACTGACGAACAGTTGGCGCGTGCGGTGTGCAGCTCTTGGTTCAGTTATAGCTGCGGCACCCACTCCAACTGCCATGTGTAGCTTGGTCAAATGCATATGCGTTGCGTGCCACATACGAGTGGAGAGGCTTTCAGCATTTTTCTACACTCTACAGCAGACTCCAACGTTTGTGCCGTTATACTACTAACCGAAAGGGTTATTAGCGCTTATCAGACACATTGCAACCTCTCGCTTGCCCACACGCTGTGTTCACAGTTGCGCACGTCAAACTGGTCGTAAGGAGGGCAACGGAAGTAGCCAGCCAAATTGCAAGTGATTTCATGGTTAATTGAATTTAAAGCGATTGCGCTTAATGCAATTTTTTCTGGTCGCTTCTTTGTTGCAACATACACGAGTACATATTTATTTTTAGATTTTTTTTCATTTTCACAGGTGTAGAGATGTGTAGCGCTTAACCTCAGCCTCATAGGTGTCTACAGGACATGCCAGTCAGTCATCACCCTTCGGTTAGTATGAGTCATGTTAACGCTTTGTCTCTGTTAATTGGCCCACATTACTTTGAATGACCATCCATGTATGGTAGAGTTGCTTTTTTCAGTGTTACTGATTGCTGTCTTTGTTTAAATTAAAAATTTCATCATTTTATTTTTCACTCGATAATCTCTCCGGCACTTTGAGGTCCTTTATAAAAATGCTTATTTACGCCAAAGTTTTTATTTTCATTATCGAACAAATAAATTTTAGGGACATACATATTTAATAGTGAGAAATTTATTTAGGCAAAATGCAGTTCTTGTAATTTTGAGTTAAATTTTTGAGATTTTGTGCCCTATAACTCATTGAACATTTAAGTAACGATGTGATAGTGTAACATCTATTTATTCAGCAAGCTTGGAAGAGAGATATTTGAAGAGCCTAATTGTATGGCAGCGCTATTAGTAAACATTTTCCTCTACAATAAGTATTATCTTTTATCTCAGCGAAAGGATAAATTATGAACTTAGATATTAGACTTAGCTAATTAACAATGCTATAGAATTAATACAAATACTCATAGCACAGAAAACCTTCGGATGAACTGCCTTTTATCCGAAGTATTTTCTCATTCCATTCCGCTTTAAAGATTACTAATTTTTAATAACTTAACTTAAAGTGAGAAAATTTTAAGTTTACTTAAATTTGTAAGCTATTGAGCGTGGGGACTGAATCAACAAATTCCGTAACGGAAATAAATCTAACATCATAAAGTATGCGCAAAATGTTTGCACACTTTTAGGCGTACTTTCGCATACCTCAAACTGAACCAATCAATTGAAGAGACAGAGTAGGGTGATTCAAAAATAGTAATATTTGAGAAACAATTTTTTTAATGGCGAATAAAAACATAGAATTTCATAAAATTTGATTAAATAAAAATAAATTATACAATATTTGGAGTCATAATATTAGTAACATTATTATTATTTTGGTAAATAGCCTTTTGGAACAGTATCTCGTTTGACTTGAACAATACAATTGAAATTAGGTATTTCAATCGGAGTATCACTGGTAATAAATTTCCACGTATCTTGGCTGTCGATTTCAACATAAACTTCGTTGATAAAATATAAGAGCGGTTGACAACTTTTCTTTAGGAAAAATTGAATTTGAAAATGAATAATGATCCACAAGAATCCACAAAAAAATATGGGATCACCACTGACGCGGTATTTTCTAGATATTTAGAGAATATCAAGTCTCAAACTTATGTTTCTTATTTCAGTTACGTTAAACTGATAGTTTCAAGGATAAAATCTCTGAATAACCTACATGCATTGTAAGATAATAATAATATTTTAAACAATATTACTCTTCATTTATTCAATAAAACGAAAAAATTTGTTTTCTTATCGATCACCATGGTCAAAAAGTGTAACTTGAAATAATATAAAAAAAAAAAAAAACAATACTGCATAAAAAATAAATAAATAATTTTAATTGCATAAGTGGATAAAAAATGCTATGCAATAGCCTTACAGCGGCAGTCCCCGAGTGCCACACGTACTTTTTTTTTAAATATGAATTAAAGAATTAGTCCATCAGTCAATAACACTTGAAAAAGGCTTAAACTCGACAATTTGTTCTGAGCTTAAAACGAAAAATGAATCAAATTTCTTTCTTTTAAGATTTATATTGACATTTTTATACAAAATGGTGGCCCAAGCTTCGAAGTCGCTTTTTCCAAGAGGTCCGGTGTGGCCGCTGATGATTCAAAATCAGCTCGTGTTATATGAGACAGAAAAAAAGAAAAACTTAACTTCGGTTGTAGCGAAGCTATCCTATCCTACAAAAACACAAAGGTTCCTTACAAGAACTTAATTCAGAAGAGTTTCCCATACAAGTACTTGATTCCGATTACACAGTTTATATGTCAGCTTTATGCTATAGTGGTCCGATATCGAACGTAAATAAAGGAAAGGTGCAAAATTTCAGATCGATAGCTTAAAAATTGAGACGGACATGGCTAAATCAACTCAGATCATCATGTTAATCATTTATGTACAATATATATTTTATAGCGGCTCTGACGTATTCTTCTGGGTGTTACAAACTTCGCGGCAAACTTAATATACCCAGTTCAGAGTATAAAAAACCGGGTTCTCAGTCTATATATAAAGTACCCTAGTTTTGAGTTTCACATTCTTTCTTTTTAAGCAGGTAGATCTTACAACTTTTCCAAAAAGAGAGGAAAAGAACAAAAAAGCTTTTAAACTTTTCGTGCATAGCTGACCGAACCAAAAGCTTCGATACTATAACATTGGATTAGAGATTAGACAAAGAAACTTTTTTCTTTACTCTATCAAATGAATGATGTTTTAACGACTGTCGAGTTGGATAAAAATATATTTAATTGGTTCCGGTTACGTAGAACAGACCGCCTTAGAGGTGGATAGATATATTTCACTCTATAGCTTCCCTAACCGTGATGAAGCATAAATACTGATTTTTTTCCTCTGATTTTTCTCCAGTTTACCTCTATGATAGTATATATTGGGTAGTAGCGCATAGCTTTCAATGGAAAGTGGATTATTTGTTATTAACATTGGCCAGATAAGTGATTCGGCTTCGTCTTACTCCAGAAATACAGAATTTACTGAATTTCTGGATACCTATTATTATACTCAGAAGGAATCGTCGGTGACCCCATAAAGTGTCCATATAATTCATCAGCATTACGAATTGATTTAGCCATGTCCCTCTGTCTGTCCTATATAAACGCGAACAAGTCCCTCACTTTTTAAGATATCGATATGAAATTTGGCACATATTCTTTTTCTCCAAGAAGCCGTTCACTTGTCGAAACCGTCAAAATAGAGCATATAGCAGCCATACAAACTGATCGATTGAAATCAAGTTCTTTTATAGAAAATATATTTATTTGAGAATATATTTTCATGAAATTTAGAATGGATTATTGTTCAAGGCAACGATATAATCTGCGAAGAAATTGTTCAGATCAAACCACTATAGTATATAGCTGCCACACAAATTGAGAAACTAAAATTAAAATAAAGATATACAATACTTTTCTTTGCTATAAAAAATGCACATTTGGAGGTTATTATAGCTTCGGTGCAGCCAAATTTCTTAATCCTAATCCTAATCCTTCTAATACGTAATATTATTCATATGTATTCAGACTCTTATTAGACCATCAAAAATGTGTTTTTCAAACAAGTGTACGCTTTTCGTGCTACTAAAATGTATATATGAATATTTTTCCCTTGCGATATATTATGCCTCGCTACATGCAACAAATATTTTATTTGTTGAAATCGTTTACTTTAACGGAAAATTATAGGTCAATTCCACACAATAACAACCAACGATTACCGACAAACCCTTCCGAATCAATATTGAGCCATAACATTAACACACGACACGTACTCGTACAACAAACATGTTTTAGCTGGAAGGCAAGCAGTAAATGCAATAACTGCTTCAATTTTAACAAGCAACTACCACTAAATTCAATCGTGCAAGTACACACACACAGGCATACACGAATTCCACAACTGTAAGCCATTCATCATCGGCAACACTTCCGTTCCGTTTGTCCATTTTTATCGGCACACGAAAAAGACCGGCGACTTAGGCGCGACGTCAGCAACCCATTTGCCGTGCTTTAACCCTTACCACACCCCCTCTACCCCACCAATGCAGGTGGCACATTGAAAGCGACGCGTATAAACAATTGCCGCATTTGATTTAGACGCGACGATAAGCTCGAAATGGAATTATGGCATGTTTTGAAAAATTTGCCGTAAAACCGCAAGCGAACAAGCAACGAGCGAGCTAGCGAAGCGCAGAAATGCCATTCAATCAACGTGCATAGATTCGAGTATTGTATTTATAAGTGTAACTGTATAGGCAATTTTTGTTGTTGCATGCCGCACTCAACGCTCGCCTCTAACGGTTTTTAATGGTAATTTTATCGATAATGTTCGTGTTTTTCGATTGTGTGCTGGGGGGCATTGTTGTTGCTGTTGTTGTTGTTGCATTATGATTTTCATCGTTATTTTAAACATGCCAACAATTGCTGTAGAGCCAATGTGTTGCCGGAAAATTATGAGCAATCGACACGCAAAAACCACAACTAAAGCAACAAATCGTTGCGGCAAGAGGGGAAGGGGTTTGTTGGCAAATCAAACAACAGTTCCTTGAAATCAAGTTAACAAAAACAACACTTTGATATGTCATTGCTGGCGTAGGCATATTTCACAATGGCATTTGTTGTCACATAAATTACTCGATAATCAAAAAATCCACAAACAAATAATGGGGAAATTCTAATAATAATAGAACCGTGCGCGCAAATGTGGCATGCAACAGCAGGTTGCAACGTGGCGTGCCACCACGAGTAGTTGTGCATTTTGATCGCAGGTAAGTACGAGTATATGTTATATAAAACACTGTGCGTGGCAATAATGAGTCCAGTTCGCTTTCTTGTCTTCGATATTACAGAGGAGAGCAGACTCCCACGTTAACCTCGAGCAATCAGATACCGATAACTTTCCGGAACGACCAGTTTGGATTTCTGTTCTATTAATTATGTTGCTATTGTTGTTATAGTGGATTTAAAGGCTGTCATCAGACAGTTACTTCAGTGAAGAGACTGTAACGAAAAGGTCGGGTAATAGAGTAAGTAGAATGAAAATGAGTTGATACTATGAACCATAAAAATATGTAATTATGGTCTTGTGAATGCGTCTGCCATGAAAAAGATAGACTTATTATGGTGAAATTGGTATAAGCAACATAATATAAACAAGATTCTCAAGGGGAAATCTGGAGCCTCTGTCATGTAAAGATTTTGTATAATTTTAAGAAGTCACTTTCATATGCCTGAGGTGTGGCTCTGCATTAAGCCAGCGTCTATGGGCTTAAAGATCTTTAATCATTACCATATAGTGCTTATTGCGTCAATGATGATGAATGTAGTGCGACTTACAAATCCTATGTTCGCAGCAGATGTAACAGAGTAGGGGTCTTAATGTGGGAGACATCGGCCAACTACAGATTAGGTTAGGTTAGATCGTAGGGTTGATCTTAAACGATGGATATTTCTATCTTAGTCTGGCAAAAGCCGGGCAATAGAGGAGAAAGTGACATAATGATTGCACCTCTTCTTTCTGCTCTTAAAGTGCATTCGGCAAAATATTTAGCCGCCCCGAGTGTGAACTTGTTGGACAGTGTCTAGTCAGAACACCGACAATTGCGGCGAGATTGACCAACTATCCAAAATATTTGGTATTTATTGATTGAGCTTAATACCAAATTTAAGGAAGGGTAAGGTTAAAGAAAGCTTTCGGCCAAGCACTAAAACCCAGACCAAGTCTCAGCTAGCCCGGAATTCCTATAATATATAATTTTCACCTTACTGAAATATGAGCTCTGCACTATCACTAGTTTCCTAAAATTTCGGAAAATATTTTCCGATTGCGATTGACTTTCCCTCTCATGTTATCAGTTTTCGGCTGTTTAGGCTGTACCAGAGTTCTTTTGAATTCATCTTGCTTTTCCTTCCTTCATTAAAATGGAAAGGAGTTATGTAGAATCGTGAAAACATTGTTTTCTAAGTTATATAAGGAACTCATCTTTAAATGGAGCGGAAAACTTTAAAATCCCACCTAGGAACCTTTTCTCAGGGTTTATTCAGCACCTAAACTGATTCATAGGTTTAACTTTGCACCTGCCTCCTTCAACTTCTGTGTGCGTCTTGACGCTAACCGACAATTGGCGTTTTGTACAAGTATGAAGCCTCGACCCAGCAATGGTTTTTACGTCAAAAACGCGCTTAGAGATACGAAATAATCTGCTTTGCGGGGTTCGCCTTTCAAACTGACTGGTATTTATTTGCTTACTAGTGTAATTATTCTCTTAATTTTTTTGCCGGCAACCTTTTTTTGACGCACACTGTATTGCACCTTTAAGTTTTATTGACACTTGTATTGTATTTCCAAGCATTTATGTTCAATATTTATACACTCAAATACTTGTGGTGCATATGCATTTAGTTCTAGTCGCTGGGGCGTATGCGCAATTTTGGTTCCTAATATTTCTGTGTTCTGCACTAACGACTGTCATTAAAATTGTAATCTACAACCGACTTATTCGTGTCAAATGTACTGTTGGTTTTTGCAAAAGCTATCATTGGTGATTTGGATCGAATTTACCGCAGTTTATTTTATATGTTTGCTCGCTGGTTGAATATTTGAACGGGGTATTGGAGTGGGTCAGTGACTTTAATTGAGTTTCGGTTGATTTTGTTAATTGTGTTATATAACTGGGTACGCTACTGATAAGACGATACAAGATTTTAAATCAAGAGGACTTTTAGTTTACTTATAAATTAGTTTGTCCTCAGAAAGTGGACCAACGCTGACTACTACGAGGCAGTTTTGTTTAGTCCATTTGTTTGACGAAAAGCTGTAATATCGACTAGCTTTATTCAGATGCATGGAAATATCGTTTAGTCTCAAGGTTTCTATCATTATCGGTATTATTGCTTAGCTTACGCTCCACTTGATCTGCTTCATACAAATTTCTCCTTCGAACAAGAAAATCTAAGATATTGGAGCTATTTTACATGATCGATCCCAGAGGACCTCTAAGTATATAAAACATATTTTCTTAGCGAGATATGTAATTTTTGTGTGAGTCAAGGTCAATAAGAGACTATCGAACGGATGTTCACTGTCTCTTTCAGCTTTTTCTTAAAGCTCCACTTGCCGCAACTCCTGCATGTGTTTCTTTCAAAGTAAAGACACTATAGTCATACAACAAGAATGTATACCGGAGAGTAAGACCACATTCCACTGCATAACTTCTGCCTAATTCATATTTAATGTTCTTTAAAAGCTTAACTCCAACGTTTTCATATTTACGCATTACGTAACTCACACTCCGCAGCAATGCTAATTGCCGCCATAAATAATCGAATAGCAGTAGCACAACACCAGTTAACAGCAATCAAAGAGTAGGCAATTAAGAGAACTATAAAAACATTAGACAGACTTTGGAGCTGGGCGCTGATCAAAGTTAGCTTAGCAGAAACTGCGGCACACGGTATAAAACAGTATGCCAAAGATAAAGATAAGTAAAACAAAAAAAGAAAAATGGTAATAATTTATTGAGAAAAGATTATCGATTGCATATGCTGTTGGCGCGTTGTGAGCTTAATTACAGACTGTCTGCCCAAAAATATGCTGCATAAATTGCTCATATATGTATATAATATTTATTTCTGGCATAAATAAGTAATTAAAGCGCTTTGAGGCAAGTATTGAGCACTACAGAAGTGAATCGCTCTTATATGAGGCCAAAGTGCTGAGAAGTCCATGGAATGTCGAATAAAAGTGCTTGGCTTACACTTTGCTAATGTCAGACATAAATCATGATGCAGATGCGTGAATGTGGTGCGTCGTTAGCGCCTAATTATATGCATTGATTTTATTAGAAATGAAAGTTATGGGTAGTATGTAGAATAAATAACGTTGTAATGTTAACTCTGTTCATATATTCTTCAAGTAAATGATGCTTCCAAAGTATTTTTACATTAAAGCGTACACGACGGTAGAACTCACTTTCAAAAATTATTGCTGGTAAAGAGGAAATTCTCCTCTACGTTAGATGACTCGACTTAAAATGCTAAACTGTTTTGGTTCAAAAAATTTCAGGTTAATACGAATTCACAAGATTTCTTATATCAAAATGTGATTATATAAACAACTAACGATTTATTTTATGCGGTCGCTGGAAAGACTTATCTCTACGATATAATTGAGTTCGAAGCATTTGCTATCTAAACATGAAAAAGAACACAGATAACAGAACAAAGTATTCACATTTAAGAGGTTTCGCTGAGAAAGAAAGTGATTCATTAGGCGTTGGAAAGACCAAGAGGATAACTACCCAACCTTACATGGATTTTAAAGAGAGCCTGTTTTGCGAATTAAAAAATGCAAAACTGTCTCCATTGTGAATTTGAACAAAATGGTTTAGTCAGTGATGCAGCAGGTCGCCTAAAACTGTGCTTTTTACATAATTTAATTGGAAAAAATATTCATACAAAATATGTTTTTAGAAATATATCATATATCAATAAATTAAATGAATGTTAATAATACCTCTAAATGAAATATATAATGGTGACTATGAAGAACTCAGACTACACCGTTTCTTTGACGATAGCGTCTGCCGCCTAAAGCTATGCTATGCTACACCATGTAAATAAAGTATATTTTAAATAACTTGCGAGTTTAATTATACCATTATATTGGATTTTAGAAAAGTAAATGACGATTACTATTTTAATTATAACTCATACCACCGCTAAGTTCATAAATTACATCGCACTTAGCGAACATATAAATTTCTAACTTATAATTTTGACGGGGAGATACTTAGCTAAATCTTACTGCCCCACTTACTGTTAGAGCGAACTATATTTTTATTTGTCACGTATGCAGTTACTCTATGAAAATCCATATAAATGGCAATGTAGGAATAAATTGAACATCAAAAATGTTTACAACCGCTACGCGGCTGGCACCAACAAATAGACCAGCGAATTGATATGAGCCGATGTAGTAAATAAAAGTTGCAAGTAAAAAATTTAAATATGTGTCATGGTAGTCATACTAATGCGCAAATAGGGTAAATGTGGCAGCGGAAAAATTCAATCATGCAAAGTGCTGTCGAATATCAATATTTGTGCGCGCCGTTGCGTGCGCCAAGCTAACACACAACCGTGGCAATAGCCGCGAGTCGCGTAGTCAAAGCAATGACAATGCTGATAAAAAAGAAATTTCATTGTTTATGATTTTTTCTAGTGACATTTGCTTCTGTTGCCGCGGCATTGGTTGCTACGCCTTGCCATTTACAACCCAACGAAGTAATTTGCATGCATGACATTTGTTATGGCATACTTTGAGGCGCATCAGCCGAATATTGAAATTGACAAACACTTTGTCACAAATTTTCAAATTTATTCATGTGCATGTGAGTACTTCATATATATCTATGCGTTTAAAGGCTACGGCTTGTAGCTAACGTCATTCCATATGAAAATTTGGACTTTTTAAGACACAATATCCATTAAAGGTAATAAAACTATGTTCTTTAATATCAATAATATGAAGAGTATTAATTATGAAGGCAAGCTGTTTTTGCGAATATAAACATTTCCTACATTTTTTCATAAGAAAGTACGTAATATGTAGCAATAAATAAATTTTAGCAGCATACATTTGGGCTGAAAAAGCATTTTTTCGTAGTATATTGCAGAATTTAAGCATTCAGTGTCGGAAATATTCAGTTTTATTGAGCCTGAAAGCTAGTTGTAAATATTTACTTAAAACCCAAAATAAATCTCTCTTCGCTTTAACGGATGTTTTTCTACACAATACTAACTTAACTCATTGTGTTTGGCTTTCATAAGAATTTTGCTTGTCTTAAATATAATTTTAATGGAATATTTGGTCTCCTAATGGTTCTACACTTTATGCTTGGTTTCGCAATGAGCCCTCAATTGCTTACGGATCATTCACATTAAAAATCGACATGGAATTAGGGCTTCTTAAAGTCGATTAACATAAAGTAAGGGCTATTAAAAATCGATACTAGATTAGGTTGTGGCACATATTGCCATACCATACTGCAGCTAAAAGTCCCTCTAGCCTACAAATTGAACATTTCGACGAAAAATCATGCAACCGGTATTTGAAGTGTTAATTTTTGATCAAAATAGCGTCTCAGATAGTCTTTAGGTTGAACCAATATTATTCTTCGAACAAAACTATTTCAACGCAAGTTTTCATATATTTTTACGATATGATTTCTTATAGAGTAGTCCAACAGAATACTGCTGGAAAAGTTATGGGAATTAATCTATACTAATATTATAAATGCGAAAGTCCGTTTGTTTGTTAAGCTTTCACGCAAAAACTACTTAACAGATCATCATGAAATTTTGTACATATACTCTTAGAGGTGTCAGAATGAACATAGGATACTTTTTATTACAAAATTTATAAATTTTTTACGGATTATTAAAAAAAATTATTTTGGAAGATTATATATGTTTGGAAAATAAATTTGAAAATTTTGAAATTGAAAAAAAAAAAAGTTTGGCAGAAATGATTGTTTGTCGAAAAAATTAAAAATGAAAGAAAACATAAATATATAAAAAACGTAAATCAGAGAAATAACACAAATATTATTAGTTACTCTTATTAAATATAAAAATGCCTCGAAAGCGGAAATCGGCGCTGTCAAGAAATTCTACGCCGGTGCGTAAGGCTAAAGTTACACGAAATAAAGAATGTGAAGTTCAAGCAGAGCTGAGAAGGCAACAGCAAGCAGATCGACAACGTGTTTTGAGAGCAGCTGAAACTTCTCATCAGGCACGAGTACGTTCGAAAAGACAAGCTAAGCAGCAGGAAGCTGTATATTTTAAAATTTGAAAATTCATTGCCTTTAGTAATCCAAGCCATGCAATAAAATATATTCTTTATATGGATCCATATCTACTATAATGATATCAGTTATTTATTTGATGGATTCGACGCGAGCGAAGCCGCGGGTAAAAGCTAGTATTGTTATAAATTTAATATCGTTTAAGAAAAGAATGTAGATAGAGACTAATATTTTGTTTTTTTGTGGGAGTACAGTCTTCTTGGGGGTAGTAAAACACCAACGATTCTCTACAATTTTTCAGTTTGAAGGGATAAGGTGCGAATCCTAAAAGTATATTACGTTTATTCAAAGATCACTCATTTGTACATCACATATAACTTTTAAGTCTCAGGCATACGGATTCCTATGTCAATTTACATCTTGGCAGAGTAGTGATGTCTCGACTAAGTACCAACCATAACCATATATTTACATTATATATTTAAAAATTAGTCTGATTTAAATAACAAATTTAACTCTGATGTTTCTAGCTTAGTTGTTGCCATTGAACTTTTAATTTTCCTAAAAGTATGCTATCATTATTCAAAAATGTGCTTTTTAGCGTAAGTGTAAGTTTGCAGTCTCCAGTTACCATATTTCCATGCAATTAAATCATACTACATCTGTTCAAAATATTACTGAGTTTCACATCAAATGTGGCTCTGCAGTTTGTAGTTCTTACTTTAAACAAATAATGAGGTGATAACTAGGTTTGGTTCCTAAAATTACAATCTAATTCAAGTATATTTTACATACTGTTCTAATTAAAATTTCTTTCTAATTTATATATTAATTTTTATATAAATATAATTTTTATATAAATATAATTTTTATATTTTCAAAAACAAATTTAAAGGGTACATATCGCTGATTTCTACGGAAGTTTTCATTATTAATAATATAGGGAATTTAATATTGAGCCTAGAAGTATACTATATTTTTATGTGGCAAGGTGATAAGTAAGTGTGAAACCTAAAAGTATACTATCCAAATTAAATTTTTTTCAAATTTTTAAAGTATATTGTTTTAATTTGTATATATAACTTTAAAATGCTGATAGCAGATTTTTCGGAAGTTTTGTTTTTAAGACAAAATGGTATTACAATTAAGTATAAACCCTTAAAGTATAACACGATTTTTTAAAAAAATTCTTTTATTTTTGTTGCAATGTAACTTTGAAGTCCTCAGCTTGCTAGTTTATGGGGAAGTCTCCAGAAATTATAAACATAAAAATTATGCTATTTTCTTAAAAAAAAACCCAATTGTAATAGAAAATGTTGCTTTGAACTTTCCAATTTGCTGTTTACTGTATTTGAAAATTGCATTTTGAAGAATTAAAATAACTCAACAATTTCTGGAACCTAAAAGTATACTACTTTTATTTACAAGAACAATATGAATTCGTAAAAAGCATGTTTCGAAATTTCACTTCCATACTTGTTATCTTAAACACTTTTCCATTTTATTCGAGCAAATTAAGTCAGAGTAAGTGAACTGAGTTCCATTCAGTATGGAATAAGCTATGACTTTGAACACATTTTCTATTATTTCTAAGGCAGATGCACAAAAAAGGTGAAAAATCTATTTTTAGGCGCACTTTATTTTGCTTCAAATAGTTTTTAGAAATTTTATATTCCGAAAAATCTTTGTAAAGTTGTTAACCACTAAATCCCAACGCATGAATTTTGTAACTTTATCCCTTGGGCTTAAAATTTTTTTCAACACCAAAGTGGTCAGTATATACAAAATACACACCCTCAACAACAAATTTGTCTGTGTGCGTATATTGACATTGTTTACTTAAACGCACTTTTATAAAAATAATGAAATTTGGATGAAAAAATGTTTAATTTCACTTCATCAACGCACACGAGTGTTGACATTTGATAAATTATGCTAATTAGCTAAGCGCATACTGCTCATTCATTTAGCGCCTCCCACGCGTCTCACAACGCGCCGTTGCATTTGTGTGTGTGTGTGTGTGTGTGTGTGTGCAGCTTTGACTGGTTTTGTCAATTTTTCTATCTAATGTCGCACTTTTTAAGGTGTGGAATTCCATTTTAACGTTTTTATATTCTCCCTCGGCTTTTATTTCTTCACTTTTTTTAATTCAACACGACTTAGTGTTTATTTTTTTAATTAATTAACGCATACTATCCTACTGTCGTGTTGCAGCGGTGTAATAGCAAGTCAAAAGGCGTCGAAAAAAGTAAAAGTTGAAAAGTGAAAAATGCGCAAATAAAGTGAAATTTAATGAAATGAAACGCTGCCTGTTTGTCAATGCGTCATCAGGCTTCATTTGGTTGCACGCGAATATATGCGCGAAGCCCTGTCACTCAACGCAGCGTAATGGTCAGGTATAATGTATGTATGTTGTAGATATGAAAAGTTGTTGTTATTGTTGGTGTGAATGCAAATTCCGGAAATCATTACTAAAGTACTCAAAGCGTAAGGGAAATTAGATAAGTAAAAGAAATGGCTGAAGTAAAAGTTGTGTTAGAGCGCCTAAAAGTATGCTAGAGAACTGGTGTATATTGAACATATCTCACGCGGTGTTCCATTAATAGTATTAGAAATATATACCATACATATATACTACTTTGTTGGTGTTTCATTATGAATGAAAATACACAGATACTTTTTTATTGTATTGTATATTTTAGGAAATGTTCCAACAACGTTTGAAGAAAGCTGGTTTAATAACAGTTTTTCGCATATAGAAGACACAGAAGACTGCATATAAGTTCGGCCTCAGTAATAGTGAATGTAAGTATCCTCTTAGCTTAAGGATTAAAGGAAGAATCTACATCGTCTCTGCGATGACATATACATCTGTAATTATTCCTTCATATGGGCCTGTGATTTGCTGTTTATTCTTCAAAAGCAGCAAGCAAGCGATTAAAAATGCCTTGAGTGCTTTTATAAGAGAGCTGTGGTATTTAGTTTGGCCCAAAACTACGTTTAAAGATTTAAACTCGGTATCAGAAAATGTTTGCTTTTTTGGGAAGGTACACTTCGCTGGATACGCCGAAGGTGTGTCTACCGAGATACTTTATTTTCAGTCTGGAAAAAGTCAGCCTCGCATTCCTCAATACAGCTTTGGCAAAGACGTCCGACAAAATATTTAGCCGCACCGCATGTGGAGTATTGTACAGTGTTCAGCCAGAATATCTGCAATTGTGGCAAGATTGACTTTACTAAGAGCAAGTAGTTCAGAGAGACTCAAATAACATATGAATGTGTAGTTAAAAAGTAGTGACCTTATGTAATACTAAAAATTTTACTAAGCACGTAAATATTGGAGAAATATTAGAAATAAGCACAAATGTATACTTTGCTTTCTCTTTAAACTACGACGCCCACAGGTAGGCAGCGAAAATAAGCACTCAACTGTTTGAATAAAGCAAAGTGTGTAAGCTATCAAAGCTTCTTTTTGTCTTTCAAACAAGTTTTTTTTTGCACGAACTAAATCAGATGAAACACAATAAAATAACAAAAAACTTACCCTTTTTCATGCAGTGGGAAACACTTAAGTGCCCATCTACAGCACTTCCTTTAACCTCAAGCGGGGAAGTCGTTTATCATTTGCGGCTCATAACGTCGCAAAACATTTTCAATATTCTACAAAAAAAGAAGCTATTTTAAAACATGAGAAAACAGTATATGAATATGGAATATTTGCACAACAAATACAGTTATATGTAGTTATGACAGTGTCTGAGGAGAGGAAAGAGAACGCCTCAAAGTTTTTCTTGGCGAAGTCTCGCATTGGCGGCAGCGTAAATCCTTTTCCGCATGAATTATGATGTGAAAACTCAAAGCTGTCAATGACTGGGTTTAGGCGTAAAACAAGTGAAGGCAAACCATAACAGTATATTTGTAAATATGTATGCGATAGCTGCTCGTAACGGAGCATAACTTCGACTTTCAATAAAGTATATTTTTATGGCTTTCCGGTTGCGCTAAAGTAGGCAATAAATTTTCAAAAAAACAGAAAAGAAAAACATAGCAACAACAATGCATTGCGTAAATATCGAGGAAATCTCTAACTGTCATAAAATTTGACAGTCGAAAATTGTGTGCCGCCTAGTAACATATGCAAATGTTGTGTTGGTGTGAGTGTGAGGATGCGCCACAACGCCACAGGCAGCCTTTTTTATACATATGTGCGTATGGATGTGCATTGCGCTAGGCAATTTTATTGATGAGGCGTCAATGCCAAAACGTTTTCTGCATTCGACACGCTTAAGCATTCATATTTGCTTTTTTATATATTTATATTTTCATGCAAACTAATACATATATATGGCAAACTAATACATGTATATGGCATATATATTTCCAGTTTTCTAAGCCATAGTCATACTATAAGTGCGATTTTAGGCGCTAAACTCTTTCGCTGTTCACATACACAATCAATGAAAGCAAATACCACCAAATACGCTAAACTAAGCATGACGTCATTTTAACTGCCAAATCTTGTTGTTGTCCTTACGCATGCTTCGACTTCCACTTTATTGCTTCGACAGTTTGGCATTTGAATATTTCATAGCTCAGGCTTTCACCCAGAAGTCATGTGAGGCTAAAGTAATTTTTTAAGAGTGCGTCGTGTAATGTTTCTATGTGTTTATAAATATAAATATGTTTGTGTAAATATATCTGTATGTTTTACATAATTTATTGTTTTTATATGATACTCATATTGGCAGTATTTTCTGATAATACGGCGGCATATTTGCTACCAAGGGTTGTGCTGCTTAAGACAATCAAATGGTAGTTGATAAAGTAGTCAGAGGGTGGTGATTTGAATAAATGTTGTGCTGTGTGGTATACATGCATATAAAGTTACAAACACATATAGAAGAAGCAAAGGATGTGTGAGGATGAGTGCATGGGGAGACAGCTATTTTAAGCTTTGAAGACAGCAAGATAAGCGTGAAAAATGAGTTGTGCTTGCTTGAAGAAACACAAGTAAATAATTGTGAAGTATATGTGTAAGGAAAAACTTGTAAAGAATGAAGACGATAGCAGAAAGATGAGAAAAAATACACAATTCAATAAAATGCCAATATAAATTACAAAAGGTATGAGAGAAAAATTAAAAATATTTTTCTTAAATTTCTCGATATACGGCAAAACTACGAGTCCTATAGAAAAATATTATCTGGCAAAGTTGTAGTTAGTAAAAATATCTATAACTTTTGTATTAACAAATTTTACACATAACCCCAAAATTTATGTGGAAAATTTTAATTGCCAATTTTTTTCGGGGTTTTTAATTTTAAATTTTTTTTTTGTTTTTAATTCGTAATATTAATTTTTTCTCCTTCTTTGACTTACGAGTATAATCAAAAAATAAACACTAATTTTCAATCAATATTTAACGATTTGGTTTACAAACGCAGTATAAATGAACCAGTCCGCGTCAAAGTTGATCTTGAGTGTTTAAGGGGTTAGGGGTAGTCAGAATTTTCAAAAAATCAATTTGTGTTTTTTTTTTGCATTTTCGTTAAGTGTAATATCATGAAAATATTCTCTAAAAATTTCAATGGTAGGTGAAACTACAAGTATAAATGCGTTTTTCTCAAAACTATGTTTTTTTAAACTGGTGACAACTGTTACTCGAAAACCGCTGAGGCCTGGTCAAAGATTTTTTTTTAAAAATTTTGATTTTTTAAGACTTTGGATTTTTTCCAAAAATCTAAAAAAAAAATCCTGAGGCCGTCATTTTGTTAATTTTTGAAAAACAAAAAAAAAGCTTCGATCAGGCCCAGGATTATTTATTTTATACAAATAAAACAAATTTTTTATATCCGTTTGATTTTATATGAATCTCCAAGGATGATGATTTCTTATGATTGTCACCGCAAGGACGTTTTTTGGAAATTAAATTTTTTTTTTTGAAATTTGCGTTACTTCAAGTCAGAATATTGTATAATAATGCCATATTACTTACTTACTTTTGTAAAATAACATGATTTAATAGCAAAACAAAATTGCTGAAAATTCTAACTTTTTCGTGGCTCTGATTACCCCTAACCCCTTAAAGCAAAAATAAAGCACTAGAAGCTCTGCGATGAACCAAAGACAGGGTTTCTCTCAAAATTTGCTTGCAATTTACGCTGTGAGTCGTTCAGAATCAACTTGGTGTGTATGGTGCAAGTCCAGTACGTGAGAAGTGTAATTTTGGGTGAACTAAGTTGAATTAAAGTACCTAATTGTTGACCGAACTACATTTGAAGAAAAGTTGCATTCGATAATGTAAGTACCTAATTCGGCCAGAAGTATAGCCAGAAGACAATGTTTGCATTATCACATTTTGCTATTTATTTTATTTTAATCGGCCGAGAGTGTCGGGAGAGGCACGAAACTCTTAAAAATTCACACCAAACACAAAATCTCAAATACAAAAACCCTAAAGTTAAAACAACCAAATTTACATTCTTAAAAAGGACTTCTAAGCGTAAGATCTTGAATCGGCTAGCGGTTTTTTGTTTTTTGTTCATTTTTTGGAATTTTCAATTTAGGGACACTCTTTTGTAGATTTTGCTTCGAGGATTTTGAAATCGAGCATTTTAAGCCCAATCTGAAAGATTTACCTCATTAAATCATATCATTCTCCATATATTTTATGTTTGAATAAAGTGATAGATTGAGTGAAGATAGTCCCGATTATTCTTTCGGGTCTAAAAAAGATTAAAAACATATATGTTATTCCGATACCATTTCAATAAAAAAATTTAAATCCGAGCGCCTAATCCGCTGTCAGTAGAATATGTTCTATAGCTCAATCATTTGTGTATATTCGCAATTTGAATTACCGTTTGCGCGTTTTTCGATATTTTTATTGTTGTTGTAAATGTCTCAAATATTGTTAATAACATAATTTTTAAACTTCATTCAACCGTCAAAGCTTTTATATATAAAACCTTTGTGGCTTTCTCTCGCTTTAAGAACTTTCCTCACTTCCTCTTCAGTCTCAATTCCTTAAAAGCGGCGCCACGATTGAGGGTCAACGAGAAAATAATTTTGATATTTACAATTTTTTCATCGGTTATGCACACATATAAATACTTTTAGATAAATACATATTTATATATTAATTTTTTATTAACTCGAACTCCGCTTTTAAAGCATAGTTGCCACTTTTTGTTTTAAAAAACTTGTGCTCGCCCCTCGAACTTTTTTAAATGAAAATTTTGTTGGCAGATTTTCTTCAAAAATATTTAGTAAATTTATTCATATTTCTTTAGTATAGTATGCTAACGATAAAAGTAGCTTGCTTGAGCTACACACGCACCACTACAAGCACACAATGATTTCCAACCCCCTTAAAGCGCTCCGTTTTCTAGCAGCGTTTCTGTGTGTGCAACAATACGAAGGTAGTAAGGTAGCACTGGCACCTTTTTTAAATGAGAATTTTTTTTGGGGGTTTTTTTCACAAAAATTTTTCATTTGAATTTTTAAGCAGCGAGAAATTCTTTAAAATTATTTTTTTTTTGCGCCACTTTTGCGCTTTTTTGTTGTTAATTTCTATAAAACCGCTTTAGGTCACACGGCTGTCAGTGTGGTTTGAGTTGGAGTTTTCAAATTTTTGTTGTTGTTATTTTTTACAATTTTTTTTTGGTGGGCGGTTGGGCGTTTCTTGGTGGTGTGAGCGCGATTGTAGAGGCGTTACGCTTGTTGCTGCTGTTGTTATTGTTGTTATTGTAGCTTTTGTTGGCATTGTTTTTATTGTTGTTGCTGGCGGTCGCGGTGGTTTCACGCTTTACAACTTCTTGCTCATCCATTGCATGTTTTCTACTTAACAACCACGCTCACACCACTTAACAAAGTTTTTTTTTGTTTTTGTTTTTGCTGTGCAAATACAAATAGAATTTCCATTAAATTTTGCTGCCTATTGATTTTGAAGATTTTGAGCATTTTTCAGCGTTTTTACATGAATTTTTTTGGACTGATTTTCCCTTAAATTTTTTGTAATTTTTGTATACCATTTTGTGTTTTTTGTTTTTGCTTTTCGCTGCTTGTTAATTTCCTCCACTTTTCGCCGCTGGATAAAATTGCGAGTATTACTCGCGCTAAGTGCACTTTTGGTTAATTATAAAACGCCTTGCCATGTTGGCAATCAATTCAAAATTCATTCCCCCACACCTCTCTCAGCTTGTCAGCGTGCACCTGTACACTGGAGAGTAGTTGGTCCACTTTCCCTCTTATCATTTTAATTGCAAATATGCCCTTCAGCTAATCAAATCCAGACACAAACAAGCAAACCTACAAATTTACGCAAATATACATATTAATATAAAGATATGGGTATATATATACAGAACCCCTGCGGCTACTCATTTTTTATGTTAAAAATTTGTTATTTACATAATTTTACATTTTGACGCGCGCAAATATTTGATGAAGTGCTTTCCAGCTTCATAAATCAACGAACAAACTTTTCAATTATAATTTGAATTTTTTTTTCCAATTTTAATGACAAGTGTTACAATTTTCAATGTAGTCGATTGATTTTATGCCAGTTGTAAGATGAATTCGTCTTCAAAATAAAATTTAGACTAGGAGCAGCTACCTACTATTTTGCCAATAAAAACGACTTCACTCAACTATTACTTAACTCATATGATCAAGGAAATACAAAATGTTTTCCTTTTCAGAAACTAACTTGAAGCTCACAAAATATTGGATATCCTCTAAATATGTTTACAGTGAAAAAACTTTATGTTCAGAAATCATTTCAAAGGGTACAAAGAAGAATATGTTCATTAAATATCAAGCACCTCAAATACTGTTCCATTCCCTTCCATACCACAGTGC